ATTTGGCCCAGTGGCTGTAGTTTGTCGATCCCTGGACCAGTTATCACAATTAGTATTTATTGACTAACCCATTCTCCCCCCTGTTCATTTGAAATGCAGCCGTTGGCTTATTTTAATTTTCCATGTGTGTGTGTACTGTGGACTGTTTGGTTTCACTGATCTATTCATTTGTGTTTCAATTGTCCCACCTTTACAATATGTCTTAATGTTTGATGGGGATCCTCTCTCCCTCATTAGTCTTTGTTTTAAATAGAATTTTCCTGACCCTTCTAAGTTGTTTATTGGCCTTTGCTGTTATAAACAGTGTTGCAGTGAATAATGTTTCTGTACATTATGCAAGCACATCAGTTTGTGAAATTCCCAGGAGAACTGGTGGTCAGAGAATATACAGATTTTTAGTTTTGCTCACTATTGCCAAATTCCCCTCCATAGGGATTGTTCCATTTTCACTCCTACCAGCAATATTAGAATGCCTGTTCTCTATACAGCTTTGTCAACAGTTGTCAAACGTTGGCACTTCTGCAGATCTGTTAAGTTCTATCCCAAATCGTCCTTACAGAAGAATTCCAAATAATATATGTAGATACTCTTCACTCTAGGAGGTATAACTTAATTCCCCTCCTCTTGAGTGTGGGTTGGCCTTGAGTGTGACTTGCTTCTAAAGAATAGAGGGTAGAAAGGGAAAAAGAGAAACTTTACGGCAGAGAAACCGGACAGATCCCACCACACAACCGGATGATCAAGGTCAAGTCTCCAGTGATGAGTCATGTTGATGTCATGTGCACACTGATACAATGCGATCAGAAGGACAGCTCATATCTACTGTATTATTTTCCCCCAAGACACCATAAACTTCATCACCTCAAGTCTAATCACAAGAGCACATCAGACAAACCCACGTTGAGGTACAGTCTACAGAATACCTAACCAGTACTCTTTAAAACTGTCAAGGTCATAAAACAAACAAACAAGGCAAGATCAAGAAACTTTCACAGGCAAAAGGAGACTAAGGGGGCATGATGACTAAATGCAATATGGTAGCCTTGATTCGTTCTTGGAACAGGAAGAGGATAGTAGAAATACTGGTGAAATCCTAATATAGTGTATAATTTAGTTAATATTAGTTTTATACTATGTACCATGGTTCTGTTAACATTAGAGGAAGCTGGGTGAAGGGTATGCTAGAATTCTGTTATCTTTGAATTTTTCTGTAAATCTAGAATTATTTCAAAATAAGAAGTTTGACTTCCTCAAGATTAGAAGCTTTCGTACATCAAAGGATAGTATTGAAAAGAGTGAAAAGACAATCCACATGAAGTGAGAACATATTTGCAAATCACATATCTGATAAGGGATTAACACCTAGAATATACAAAGAACTACAACAGCAACAGAAAAACCCAATTCAAAAACAGACAAAAGACTTGAATAGACATTTCTCCAAAGAATATATACAAATGACCAATACTTACATAAAAAGATGCAAAATGACAAGTGTTGGTGAGGAAGTGGAGAAATTGGAACCTTTGTGTGTTTCTGGTGGGAATGTAAACTGGTGCAGCCACTGTGGAATATAGTTTGTCAGTTCCTCAAAAAATTAAATATAGAGTTATTATGTGATCCAGCAATTCCACTCCTGGATATATACCAAAAGAATTGAAAGCAGGGACTCAGATACTTGTACACCAGTGTTCATAGCAGCATTATTCACAATAACCAAAACAACCAGTAGGTGGAAGCAACGCAGGTGTCCATTAACAGATGAATGGATAAACAAAATGTGTTGTGTACCAGCCCTGGCCGGTGTGGCTCAGTTGGTTGAAGTGTCGTCCCATGCACCAAAAGGTGGTAGGTTCAGTTCCTGGCCAGGACACATTCCCAAGTTGCAGATATCAGCTTGTGGGTTAGATCCCCAGTCGCGCATACAGAGGCAACCGATTGATGTCTCTCCCC